TCATGCTTATGGTTTTGTTCCCCCTTGACAGCGGTGATGAGTGAGCAGAGCAGCAGCCTGGGACAAACCCAGGGCTTCTTCTGAACCTGTCACAGTTGTGATACAGAACTAACAACTAATTTCTTTCCCCATCTCTATATGTGGAATAATTTTCTTTATGATTTAATTTGAGCTCCGTTTATTAAAATTGCTATGTAAGAACTAACCATTACGGTTAGAAAAGCAAGATTGGAATGCTGAATTGAAGCTGGGCATGTTAAGCTTTGCAGGTTTGAGGAGAGTGGATTTTTGAATCTTTAAGGCAAGCTGTCTCTATTATAATACAGGTCTGGAGTCACTGGAAGTTTTTCCACAAGGAGATGTCCCTTGAGCATAAAGCTTTTGCTACATATCAGTGCATCACTGTAGAGGGGCAGAGCTGCAATTTAGGAGATGGAGAGTGAACTGGAAGTTATTTGGTTCCAAGGTGAATGGCTCAGTGGCACTGCAAGTGTATTTACTTAAGTAATTTGGCAATTACATTTGCTGAGCATCATTAATAATGGTGGCATACATTTGAACAAGGGGTCATGTGCCTTCTTTAATGCAGATGAGTGTGTCTGGTGTGTCAGTGCCTATTAACAAAAACAGGGCAGAATTACAATCAGTTTGGGTACAGGCTGCACACTCCAGAGCCTCTGATGTACAGGAGGTAGGAGCAGATGAAATGTTAAAACATTCATCACTCCAGAGCTTGCCTACACCTGAGGTTCTTGAAAGAGTATCTTGTTTATCCAGGCAGCTCATCTGCCTTCTTACATTGCATTAGGGATGCTGGCAGTTCCCAAACAGGAGTGACACTCAGCTGACCTCTGTTCCTCATGGCTGTGTTAAAATACTTCATAACTGATCCAGGAACTGCACAAAACGCTTCACATGGTGAATATAAGCAGAACAGCGTGCTGCCAACACTGAGTACTGAAAGCAGAATGATTCCAGATTTTTTTTTCTATTTTTCAGTAGTTTATTTAAAAAGAGACTGCCTACAGTTGTTGATTGACCAGAGAAATTGCACATTTTATATTCTCATGATTTGCTTTGCAAACACAAAAATGTGATGGCTGTATATTGATATTGTCATGCATCAGTGTGACTTCAGGGACTGAAAGTGGTAATCCATCTCCCACAGCTACAGAGTGAGAGTCGTGAGAGTTCTAAGGGAAAAAACTCTGCTGGGAATCTCTTCCTGGCATCAGGGGGGAAAAGGGTATCTAAAAAAAGGGATTAAGAAGAAAAAGACAAAAAGGACATATGTAAGGTTAACAATCATGCAAGAGAAAAAGTTTGAATCAAATATAGGCCAAGATGGCCAAGCGAATAGAAGGAATTTATCTGGAACATTCTTGGGAAAGTGGGACAGAAAAAGGGGAAGGTGGTACCTGGTTCCCTAGAAGTTTCCCAGCCTTCACTCCCCATTTTTTATTACTTGTCTTTGCCTTTTAAAACTACACAGTTGGCTGCCCTATGCCAGAAACAGGAACTACATTTTGGAACTCAGCCTGAACTACTAATCCTTGTAATTTATGGTTTCAGGTGAAACAGTGTAGCAGAGAGAGCAAGAACAGAACGAGACTGCTTTGGATTTCAGGAAACAGGACGTCCCTGTAACACTGCAACAAGCACTGAAACGGCAGCAGAAGGAAGGATTTACTGGGGCACAGCAAACACAGAGCCTGAGAAAAATGAACTGTGGTGGAGATGCTGGGAAAACAAAAAAGGAAGCACTGCATTGTAGTACATCACCTGCAAGATATAAACCACTCAGGGATAACTGCCCTGCTCTGTACATCTTCCCAGCACAGAGAGAGCAAATTAATTTACTGAAGAGAGGCAGATTAAAAGGATAACACCCTTGTACAGGCTAACAAAACAGCTGGAATGGTGCACACATTGTAGGACCTCTCTTTTGTTGTTGAAACTTAGTGCCAGAAACCTTTGCTGAAATTTTTTAAAGATGTGGGAGTTTTCTCTTTTTTTGTACACTGTCATTCTACAACTAATACTGATCCTATATGGACAGATCTTCATAACAGAAGTACACAGACACAAGAGATTTCAGATGTTCTTCTCTCAATACTAAGCAGGACTAACTGCAATAATGTGCAATATCTCTGGAAAATATATCTAACTGGATTTGCTTTTTGGGCCTCTGTCTCAGTTTGCTTGAAAATGCCTCCATTCCAGAAAGTGGGTTGAGAGATGCAGGGAAATGCCTGTTTGAAACATAAATTGTGATAACGGCAGCATTTTCCAGAAAAAATGGATTTGTTACCCAGTGTGCAAAACAAGCCAATAATTACACATTCAAGAGAGACATTGGTTATTTATTTCAGAGTTGCTCAAGCCTGGATTCCACAAATCAAGCACAGCAACTATCAAAACTTTCTATTATTTATACATTTTAGCAAGCAAAGGCATTAATGTCCATTGGCTACAAGTTACACAGTTCTCTTATTAATTAGTATTTTATCTCCTATTTGTTAATGATTCTTTCACTTCTCATGCTAATTAGTGCCATGCTCTCAGACTACTTTTGAGTCAGGGGGTTCCTTGGGTTGGTGGTCGTGACCTGCCCCTGCTGGAATCACCTTTTACCCAGTTGGAGCTGATTCAGCACAGTCACTGAGTTGTCTTGATTGGTTTCTTCCTTATGTTGGGGGTTCTGCCAAATGTCCTTGTGGCCTGTAAGTTCTGCATTCTTTGTGTGCCCAAATTAGTGGTACATCCTTCTTGCCAACCCTTGTTAACCTCCCCTGAGTCTGAGATCACTGAAACACCTCCAGCCCTAAACCTTAACA